AAAAAAAAAAAAAAAAAAAGAGGTTCCAGGGGAATAAGCACAGGGAGAAATGTTTGGATATTGAACTTGGCATTATACCATTTGATTGTCAACTTTAAAAATAGGCCGGGCGCAGTGGCTCACACCTATAATCACAGCACTTTGGGAGGCCAAGGCAGGCGGATCACGAAGTCAAGTGATCGAGACCATCCTAGCCAACATGGTGAAACCCCGTCTCTACTAAAAATACAAAATTAGCTGGGCATGGTGGCATGCGCCTGTAGTCCCAGCTACTCGAGAGGCTGAGGCAGGAAAATCACTTGAACCCAGGAGGTGGAGGTTGCAGTGAGCCGAGATCATGCCACTGCACTCCAGCCTGGCAACAGAGTGAGACTTTGTCTCAGAAAAAAATAAAATAAAATAAATATAAAGCTTTTTAACTTTTTTCTAAAATAAATACGTAGGGGAAAGGGGGACATTGAAAACTGGCTGAGAGATTTAGAGAACTAGAAGTAAACCACTTGCCTAAAACAAACATAATAGAAATAGCCAAATTTGAAATAACTAATATGGAATTAATTGCAGCAGTTTTCAAAATGTTAAATAGCCTAGAAAAAAAAAATGGATCAAGATTTGTCTCCTAATTGATTTGAATCCATAGTTTGGGATTTTTGTCTATATCTGATTCTTTTAAAATGCTTTCTTTTTTAAATTTGCTTTCCATGTGAGGATTGATAGAAATGCTCCTGAAAGGCAGGTAGGTTTTTTAATGCACTCAATTTCAAGATATTATTTACAATGTCCTAATTAGTAGAAATGTAAGTCTTTAAATTATTTTAATGCTTTATAAATGCATAAAGGGAAAAGTAAGACTGTGTATAATATAAATCGCTTTTTAAGAACTGTATACTTGAAAATGTCACCCATAAACTAGTGATGTAACAAATTAATTATGAGTAAAAATTCTCTTGAAAGAAAGTGTAATCTTGAAGTTTTTGTAGAGTGCTACCTAAGAACATGTATCTATTAAATAAGCTAGCTTTCTTAATAGAAAATTGTAGTAATAATAATGTCAATACTTTTGTTATCTCTTTTGTCCTCTGATTCTTACATTGTCTAAGAGAAAAGGATAATAGGAGTTATGATTAGAAAGAGTTTAAGTTAATATTCAGCAAATAACTACATATATTTTATAACAACAACTTGGCATCTGTTTTTTAGGTTGTTTTGAAAAATCTGGTAGGGACACATGTAAACTCATGATTGCAATCTTTTTAGCTGCAGAAGATAATAAGTAAACAAGATGACTTGATGACAGTGAAAACTAATGAAACTGGACATCAGGTATGTGTAAATGATTTACAAACAACTGATATTTATAATAGCTACTCTATTCTGTTTGTTCAGATATTCCCAATAGTTACCAATAGATTTGGTATCAGATATTTAATTTTTTGAATACAGTCATTCACCACATAACTTTTCAGTCAACAACAGACTTCATATACAGTGGTGGTCTGAGCAATAGGCTATACTGTACATAGAGGTATGTGGTGGGGTGTACCACCTAAGTTTGTGTAAGTACACTGTGATGTTCTCACAGCGACAGTCACCTAACAATGCATTTCTCAGCACTTCTCCCTATGGTTAAGCAATACATGACTGTATTTTAAATATATATGCTATATTTACGTGTTCCTAACTTCGGGTGGTGCACAGGAGTATGTAGGTAGAGCAGAATTTCCCTCCCAGTCACCCGGTTCTCCTCCCTGGGCAATTAGTGCTTTCAGTTTCTTCCATATTCTTCCAGAGAGGTTTTATGCATATATAAGTATACATGTAAAGAAGTCAATAGATACATCTGTATTCTTTTTTCTGTTTTAATATAAGCAGTAACATACTATACATTGTTCCACACCCTTCTTTTTTAACTTAATATATCTAAAGATGTCATTCTTTTTTAATGGCTTCATAGTACTTTGTTGTATGGATATAGTAACCATTCCCCTTTTGAAAGATATTTAACAGGTATTCATCTTTTGATATTACAAATAATGCTGCATTGAATAATTGTAATTATTTTATACATACATGAACATATCTCAGGAATAACCCCTGAAATTCCGTTGCTGGGTCGAAAGATGAATATTTCTAAGGTCATTGACAAACTTTCATAAATATTGACAAATACCTTCTAGAGAATATGAACCAATTCTTATTCTCATCAGTAATGCCTATCAGTGCATTTTTCATTAATCATCTTTTAATCAATTGTAATTCCACACTCTGCTTTTCCTAAGATTTTCTTAAAGTTGTAAATCGCTTCATATTTTAGAGCATGTCTGCTTCAAAATCAACGAATTATTTAAGTCACAGTTCTTTACATTTCATTCCCTTTGAGCTGTTGTATACTGAACTTTTTGGCTCACATGCAATTCCCTGAATGATATTCCCTTTCCCTAAACATATCTTGTGTGCTCCCCTAGTACCCTGTATGTCCCCAATCACAACACCTTGTCACATGTTAATATAATTGTTTGTGTCCTCTACAATGAAAGTATCATGCTTCTCTTTAAGGTTGTGTGATGTTAGGTAGTAGTTCACAAGGCCACTCTTAACTTCTGAAAGCAACTACAGAATTCAAGGGGACCCCCAAGACCACTCTGAGGTTCAGTAACTTACTGGAAGAAGTGACATAACTCAACAAAGTTATTATGGTCATGGTAACAATTTACCACAGGGAGAGGATAATCAGCCAAGGCGGCCAGGCATGGTAATCCCAGCACTTTGGGGGCCAAGGTGGGCAGATCACCTGAGGTTGGGAATTCAAGACCAGCCTGACCAACATGGAGAAACTCCATCTCTACTAAAAAAAATACAAAAATTAGTCGGGTGTGGTGATGCATGCCTATAATTCCAGCTACTCAGGCAGCTGAGGCAGGAGAATCGCTTGAACCTGCAAGGCGGAGGTTGCGGTGAGCTGACATCGCTCCATTGCACTCCAGCCTGGGCAACAAGAGCAAAACTCGGTCTCAAAAAAAAAAAAAAAGCCAAGGCAAGGGGCACATGGAGCAGAGTTCCAAAAAGTCCTACAAGCAGAGGTTCCAATTGTCTTCTCCTAGTGGAGTCATGGGTAGTGCTAACTTTCCCAGCAGTGGTGTGTGATAATATGCACAGAGTAGTACCAACCAGAGAAGCCCGCCAAGGTGTTGATGTCCAGAGATTTTATTTGGGCCAGCCATGTAAACCTGGTTGGCTGCCCATGTAGCTGACCCTTGTCTCCAGCCATTTCAGGGTCAAGCTGATCCCCTTCATCCAAATCCCTACCCTAAATCTTATTTTTAGACTGTCTGCTGTGACCCAAGGCCCCCCAGTCAAAAAAGACACTCTTATCTTAGAGATCAACTTCCAGCAGCCAAAACAAAGGCCAGACCTCTGTTCTGATAAGATTAAGTCTTTACTACACAGATTGTATCTATGTGACCTTGTAAAGCGCCAGGCATGGATGACATGCTCAGTTAATATTCTTTAATTAATGAACAGATACCTGATCAGATGGATGTAATGTATTTAAACGTTGGCCTATTCATTGGTTATTAAGATTGTTTCCAAATATTTGCAATTAGAAGTTGATATGGTTTGGATCTGTGTCCCCGCCCAAATCTCGTGTTGAAATATAACCACCAGTGTTGGAGGGAAGGCCTGGTGGGAGGTTATTGTATCACAGGAGTGGTTTCTCATAGTTTAACACCATCCTCCTTCGTGCTATCATTGCAAGGTGAGTTCTCATGAGATCTGGTTGTTTAAAAGCCGGTGACACCTCACTCGTCTCTTTGTTGCTCCTACCTCCAGCCGTGTAAGATGCCTCTGCTTCCCCTTCATCTTCCACCATGATTGTTAGTTTCCCAAGACCTCCTCAGAAGCAGAAGCCCCTATACTTCCTGTACAGCTTGCAGAACCATGAGCCAATTAAACCGCTTTTCTTTGTAAATTACCCAGTCTCGGGTGTTTGTTTATAGTAATGCGAGACCAAACTACAGAAGTCATGCCACAGTAAATATCTAAACATGTAAATTTAGAGTAAAATTCTAGAAATGAGATTCTTGGAGCAAAGACATGAATACCTTTTAAGTTTTTGGTACCTGTTGCCAAATTGCTTTCTATTATAACCTTTCTGGAAAGGTTATAACAATTTATAGTCCCACCAGCATTGAGTAAGCATACCCATCTCTCAGCAGTTTTTCCAGGATTTGGTATCTTTGTTTTGTTTATTGTTTTAATAATCTGTGTCACTAATTTGATAGAGTGAGAAGTTATCTCAGATATTTTTTGAGATAATTATTTAGAGCATTTGTATTTCTTATTTTATAAATTTTCTATTTCTGTTTTTTGAGACTTGGTTTTTGTTTCATATGTGCTCTTGAGAGTATTTTATATTTAAGAATATTAACTTAGTAATCTGGAAAATTATTGAAGTATTTTTGAGATTAGTTTTTATTACGGATTTAATGTCATATTTATCTCACTTAATTTATCCAATTATTTTCATTCTTTAAAAGGCCCTCCCCACATCAAAATACTAACCTATGTTATCATCTGGTTTAGTTGTGGTTTTATTTATTTAAATTTAATTTTTTCATTCACATAAGTTATTTCTTGAGGGCTTCCCTAGGAACTTTATATTACTTTTTTACTGTTACATAAATGAATTTTTTTTCCCTCCAGGGGAAAATTATTGTAACTAAACAGGAAATTTATCTGATTTTTAGTGTTTTTGCCCTGGTCTGAATTATCTTATTATTTTTACTTTTCTGTTTATTTTCTTGGTTGTTCTAAGTGTAAAATCATGTTATCTCCAAATGATGTTTATCTTGTCCCCGCATAATGGTTCATACCTGTAATCCTAGTGCTTTGGTAGGCCAAGGTATAACGGTCACTTGAAGCCAGGAGTTAAGATAAGCATGGGCATCATAGTAAGACCTCATCTCTACAAAAATTTTCTTTTCAAAAATAGGCATAGTGGCACACGCCTGTAGTCCTAGCTACTTGAGAGGCTGAGGCAGGAGAATCCATAGTGGCACACGCCTGTAGTCCTAGCTACTTGAGAGGCTGAGGCAGGAGAATCCCTTAAGCCCAGAAGTTCAAGCCTACAGTGAGCTCTCATCATGCCACTACACTTCAGCCTCAGTGACAGAGCAAGACCTTATCTTTTTAAAAAATGAATAAAAATAAATTTGACATTAAACTACAGCTGTATTTCAGACTCAGAGCAATAGTTGATTCTAATCTGATTAGAAAAAATTACTTTCATTTGTTTTTTGGTATGTGGTAAATATCAAAATTAGAAGCTGTCTTTCAAAAGGAAATTTAGCAGTGTAACTGTTTTAGTCCATTTTCTCCTACAGTACTGAATATTTGAGACTGGGTAATTTATAAAGAAAAGAAATTGACTGGGTGTAATGGCTCACACCTGGAATCCCAGCACTTTGGGAGGCTGAGGCAGGAGGATTGCTTCAGTTCAGGAGTTCAAGACCAACCTCCTAGTGAGACCCTGTCTCTACAAAAAATTAGCCAGGCACGGATACACACCTGTAGCCCCTGTTACTTGGGAGGCTGAAGTAAGAGTTGCTTGAGCCCAGGAATTGGAGGAGGCTGCAGTGAACTATGATCATGCCACTGCAATTCAGCCTGGGCCACGAGACCTTACCTCTAAACAAAGAAGTTTATTTCTTACAGTTCCGGAGGCTGAGAATTCTGAAGATAAGGAACCACATATGTGAGGTTCTTCTTACTGATGGGAACTCTCTGCAGAATCCCTGGGTGGTGCAGAGCATTGTGTGGCAAGAGGGACAGAGCATACTAGCTCTCTCCTTTCTTCTCTCTTTCTCTTCTTTTAAAACCACTAATGCCCCACCCGCATGACCTCATCTAATTGTAATTACCTCCCAAAGGTCTCACCTCTGAAATACCATAGTTGAATTTCCTACCCTCTTAATACTGTTACGGTGAGATTATATTTCAACATGTATTTGGAGGGAACAAACATCCAAATCATAGCAGTAACATTCTGTCTAGAATACATAGGTAACTGTAGATCTGGGGGACTAGTAATATTCTTATGTCTGTGAGTATGTTATTAGAACAAGTATAACAATCAGCTAATTAAATGCCCCATATGTCAATACTATCTAATGTTTGGGAGCAGAACAGTGTTTGCCTGGCTTGAATCTGATGACTTTTTCACTAATTAATTGATATACCCACATATTAATTACATGTATAGAACCTGAGCACTTGTGGACACAGAGTCCGAAAATGGAAACTTCTCATTTACAACTATTTTGAACAGAAGACAGAACAAATTAGTCTTTCACAGACTACAGTATCTATATAGAATGTAGGAAATATAGGGCCTGTATTAAGGAATTGGGGATCAGAGTTGCTAGAAAAGGCCAAAAAGCTGTGATCTTCAGTCATTTATCAATTCTAGGCAATCCCCTTTATGAGTAGGTAGGGTCCAGATAGCACTAGGTCCTGTGGCACTGACCAAAGTCAGGTAAATAGTCCTAATTGAATTGCCAGCCTATGAGGGGGCTAAACAAAGGAGAGTTTGGGAATGAAGCCATACAGGACAGAGTTGGAGGTTGTTGGAAGGCTTTTTGAGTCTAGGACTACAAACCAATGTGACATGGGATATAGAGCACCTCATAGGCTGAAGAGGAAGGCAGCCATCCTAAGAGAATTTTAGAGAACACTAGACGTAGGCATGCTTATTCAACAAATATGTTCTGATATGCAAATGTTTGTTAAACAATCATATAATATGTTTCAGGCCCTGTATGGTATCCTGTGTGTTAAACTTACGAGTCCCCTTCCCTCAAAGAGCTTATTTTTAGACCTGAAAGCACAATTTAAAAGTATAGTACAGTGTGGGGTACAAAACTGTCTTTCTACTATCAAAATAGGAAGGGAACTAATATAATTTATTCTTTGACTGTATTCATCCTCATTCACAATGATTTTTCATTTCTTGAAATTTATTTTCACTCTAATGAGAGACTTTGTCTATTACTAAAGAATGTTAGACTTCGTAGAGTTGGAGAGGGTGGCCTAGGAGGGTGAGGAAGAAAGGCTTTCCTTTTGACTCTAAAATCAAAATCCTGAATGCTTTAATAATTTTAGTGTATAGACAAAGTTGAATCTTAAAACTATTCTTTTTGATTTGGTCCCCAGGAAGTTTAAAGCAAAATTTGTGACCTACCTGTATGAATTATGAAAGGTGCTATAGCACATTAATGTTTTTATATTAACTCCTTAGCCTCCTCTTATTAAGGGACCCTTATCTCTCCTTCATGTTCATTGTATGTATGTATGTAGGTAGGTAGGTATGTGTGTGTCCTTAAGCAGTCCTAATTTTTGTGGAAAGGCAAGAGGAATATATGAACAAACTCAAGTTCTTCTGTAACACAAACCAACAGAAGTCAAAGGAAAGCTAAAATAATAACAGAATGAGATGACACTGGAGACTATAGAGCTAAGAAAACAAATTGAGAACACAAACATTATAGATGAATGGATGGACAGTGGGGCACACACATAGGAAGATATCGCTGAGGGTGTTTGGAAAGGTTGGAATAAAAGGGATGAAAATTGACACTTTTCATGTGCCTGAATACCAGTCAATACTGAGAGGCAAGGTTTGGAATAGAGGGCAGATCTGGGTGGGACAAGATGCAACTCGTGGATACTGATACTTTTTTATTTAAGGGGACGTAAGGTCAAGTATTTATCCAAAAAAAGTCAAGTATTTATCCAAAACAAATTAGAAAATCTGTTTTATTCTTTGCTGTCTGTAATAATTTGTTTATTCTATTGTAGTGTTATTTGCGTTTTCTATTTTTTTAATGCTGGTATTTGTATATTGTTTTTGAATTTTTTTGTGTGTCATGGAAACATTTAATATGGATCTGAACTAAAAATAAGAACTCTTCCACTATTGGGAAAATGGAGTTGATATACTTCTTTCTGTTCCTCTCCCATTAAGTATAACTAAAAATCCTAGACATTACATATAAAACACCTAAAAGGTAGAGAAGAGAAGGCAAACCAGCTCCTCTGGAACCAGCATCCTCAGAACCAAAGGAATGACATGGTGGTAAGCTCCGTGGATTTTATTTTTTTGTTTCATGTATTCCAAATTTGGAGCTGAAGGACCTGGCAACCCAGAAACACCAAGAGACACAGATTTTTAAAGCTCCAACAAAAGCCTGATCAACAGGAAAAGATCAGGAAAGGGACAGCCTAGCAAGACAGAAAACTTTTACATAATAATTATTCTACTTCAGCCAAACTACACACACACAGACACACACACACAAATTGTAGCCTGACATCCACCCATACCAGCAAAGGTTTAGTGGGGAACCTAGACATCTATTCTTGCAGGGTTATAATGAACCAACCCACCTGTCCCCTTCCCCCCACTATGATGGTGTCAGAGCTGTGATTTTCATCACCACTGGTGTTATCAGAGGAGGATTAGTAGAAGTCAAGACTTTTACAATTCTGCAATAGTAATAAGACCACTTTCCCCATCTCCACCCACCCCAGAGTGTCAGTGGAGGCTGCAAGAGGAGTGTCAAGGCACTCCAGTCCCTCCCATTCAGGGGAGTATTAGTGAAGGCCTAGTGTGGAGCAGGAACTTTGATCCCTGCACAACAGTAATGAAGAGATCTGTCCTCAAGTGTTAGTGCCTCCACCATCACCTGGCTGTAAAGAGGCAGCATCTGTCTTCTCCTGTCAGAGTACTGTCAGACAAAGCCAGCTAAAACAGAAGCATTAAATAAGGTCCAAGGTCTCACAATACTGAAAATGGCCAGATTTCAATTTTAAAAATCATTCGTTATACAAAGAACTAGCATTATCTCAAAATTAATGTAAAAAGACAAGCGATAAATGCCAACACACCAAGATAACAGAAATGTTAGAATTATCAGATAATGATTCTAAAGCAGGCATTGTCAAAGTACTTCAACAAGCAGTTACACATTTAAAACAAATGAAAAGATAAAAGCATCAGCAAAGAAATAGAAACTAAAAGAATAACCAAATGAAAATTTTATAACTGAAAATTACAGTAACTGAATTAAAAATTCATTGAGTAGACTCGACAGCAGAATGGAGGAGACGGAGGGAAGGATGAATGAACTGGAAGACAGAACAATAGAAGTTACCCAGTGTGAACAACAGAGAGGAAAAGACTGAAAATAAATGAATAGAGCCTTGGGAACCTCTGGGATTATAACAAAAGATCTGATATTTGTGTTGTCATAGTCCTAGAAGGAGATGAGAGAGAGTCAGTAGTATTGAAAACAGTACTTGAAGTCATAGCTGAAAACTTCCCAAATTTGGCAGAAGACATTAACGTAGATTCAGGAGAGTGAGCAACCTCAGGTAGTCTAACCCCAAAGAGATCCATACCAAGATACATAAACTTCTGAAAATGAAAGATAAAAAAATCTTAAGTTAGCAGTGGTGAAACTGTTATGCCTGAGCAAGTTAGAGAAGGTGCCACCCTCTGAGTTCCAATTTGAGAGGCCTTTATTTCCGGCGACCAAGAGATGGCAAATGCTCAAAATTTTCTCGGCCCCAAAGAGGCTAAGATTTTTTTTATACCTAACCTAGACAAGAGGGGAGGGAGAGTCTAGCTGAAGCGGAATTTTACAGAAGCAGAGCAAGCAAGTTAGTAGGAGGAAGCTAGTAACCAGGAGGCAGGAGGTTCCCATAGTTGCTGGTTACGAAGAGTACTTACATACGATCATTAGGGGGCTATTTTCACAATAGCAGGTAGACTTGCCAAGCAGGATGCAGTTACAACAGTTGTGGGTACTGAGAACAGCGTGACCCAAACTTCAGCAGTTCAAAGCTTTGAGTACAGCGTGACCCAGTAATGCACCTGGCGGGGGGGCCGTGAAAGGGAGAGCAGAGCTAAGCTGGAGCTTGTCAGGCTTTTTTCTAAGATGGAGTCAGGTTAGTTCATTTCAAAACAACACTTACCTGTAGGAGAAAAACAGAATGACAGCAGTTTCTCATCTCTTATCTCACTTTGTTCAAGACCAGAAAGAAGTGGCACATTTTCCAAGTGCCGAAAGAAAATAACTGTCAATGTAAATCCAATATCCAGTGAAAATATCCTTCAAGAATGAGGAGAAAATCAAGACATTCTCAGATGAAGGAAAACTAAGAGAATTTCTCATCAGCAGATCTACCCTAAATAAATAGCTAAACATAATTCTCTAAACAGAAAGGCAACAATAAAAGGAGGACCTTGGAACACCAGGAAGGAAGAACATACTAAGCAAAAATATGCATAAATAGACTAGACTTTACTTCCCTTAAGACTGAAGCAAAAATTGTAACATCTGATGTAAATGTTTGTAGGATAAATATTTAAAACCATCATAAACATGGAAAGTAAAGGAACTTAAAGTTACATAAGGTTTCTATACTTCACTCAAACTGCTAACCTCATGACACCAGTAGACTGTGTCATATATATAAAATACCTAGAGCAACCACAAAAAGGCTGTACAAATAAATATTCTAAAAAATGCTATATAGATAAATCAAAAATGAATTCCACAAAATGTTTGAGTAGCCCAGAAGAAGGCAAGAAAAGGAAAACAGAACTGAAAAACAGAATAAATAGAAAACAGAAAATAAATTGGCAGACTTAAGCCCTAACACAGTAATAATTATATTAACTGTAAATAGTCTAAATGCACCAATTAAAAGACAGAGATGGCCGGGCAAGGTGGCTCACGCCTGTGATCCCAGCCCTTGGGAGGCTGAGGTGGGTGGATCACCTGAGGTTAGGAGTTCGAGACCAGCCTGACCAAAATAGAGAAACCCCATTTCTACTAAAAATACAAAAAAATTAGCCAGGCTTGGTGACATATGCCTGTAATCCCAGCTACTCGATAGGTTGAGGTAGGAGAATGGCTTGAACCTGGGAGGTTGAGGTTGCAGTGAGCTGAGATTATGCAGTTGCATTCCAGCCTGGGGAACAAGATGGAAACTCCATCTCAAAAAAAAAATATATTAAAAGACAGAGATTGCCTGGCCAACATGGTGAAACCCTGTCTCTACTAAAAATACAAAAATTAGCTGGGCATGGTGGCACATGCCTGTAATCCCAGCTACTCCAGAGACTGAGACAGGAGAATCACTTGAACCCAGGAGGCAGAGGTTGCAGTGAACTGAGATCCCACCACTGCACACCAGCCTGGGTGACAGAGCGAGACGCCACCTCAAAAAAAAAAAAAAAAGACAAAGTTTGGCAGAGTGGATTAAAAGATGTGACCCAACTATATGCTACAATAAACTCACTTCAGATATAAAGATACAGCACCTTGAAAGTCAAAGGAAACCAAACACCACTGTTCTATTGACATTTTTTAAAAAATAATAATTCTTTTTAAGGATTAAAAGAAAATTGGCCAGGCTCATGCCTTTAATCCCAGCACTTTGGGAGGCCAAGACAGGCGGATAACTTGAGGTAAGGAATTCAAGACCAGCCTAGCCAAAATGGTGAAACCCCATCTCTGCTAAAAATACAAAACTTAGCCAGGCAAGATGGCACACACCTGTAATCCCAGCTACTCAGGAGGCTGAGGCAAGAAAATCATTTGGACTCAGGAGGCAGAGGTTGCAGTGAGCAGTTGCACCCTATCCTCCAGCCTGAGAGACAGAGCAAGACCCTGTCTCAAAAACTAATAATAATAAAGGATTAAAAAAAAAAGAACTTGTGACTAATAAAAAGGCAAAGGATGAAGAAGGATGATGTATTATGCCAACGTTAATGAAACTGTAAGGAAGAATAACTGTCTAATACCAGATAAAGTTGACTACAAAGCAAAACAAGTTACCAAATAGAGAAAGGATATTGTATAAATAACAAAAACATCAACCCAACAACACCATATAGCAACTCTAAATGTGTGTACCACAACAGGGCTGAAAATATGTGATGCCAAAACTGACAGAACTGAAAGGAGAACTAGACAAATCTACAACTAAAGTTGGAGATTTAAACAACCCTCTTTCAACAATTGGTAGAACAAGTAGACAAAATCAGCAAGGACACAGAACACCATCAGCCAATAGGATCTAATTGTCCTTTGTAGAACTCTCCTCCCAACAATAGAATACACATTCTTTCCAAGTGTTCATGGAACACATACCAAGACAGCACATCACAGGCCACAAAACAAACCTTAACAAATGTAAAAGAATTGAAATACCGAGTGTATTCTCTCACTGCATGGAATCAAACGAGAGATCAGTAACAGAAAGACAACAAGAAACTCTCCAAACACATGGAAACTAAAGAACATGCTTCTAAATAATCCGTGTGTCAAAGAGAAAGTCTCTAGGGAAACCAAAAAATATATTTAACTGAAAATGAAAATACAGCATATCAAACTTTGTGGGTTATAGCCAAAGCACTGCTGAGAGGAAGGTTAATAGCATAAAATGCCTACATTAGAAAAAAGGAAAAGTGTCAGTAATCTAGGCTTCTGCCTCAAGAGATTAGAAAAGAAGAGCAAAAACCCAAAGTAAGCAGAAAGAAGAAAATAATACTTATAAGATCAAAAAATCAATGAAATTAAAAACAAGCAGTGGAGAAAATTAATGAAACGAGCTGGTTCTTTGAAAAGATGTATGTTGAAAAATGTCTCACAAGACTGACAAAAAAGGAATACACAAACTGCGAATATGAAACCGCAGCTTTCACAACAGACCCTGTAGAAGTCAAAAGAGAATACTACAACAGTTCTACACACATGAACTTGACGTCTTTGATAAAAACAAACCACCACAACTCATCCAATAAAATAGATCATTTGAGGAAATGGAATTCATAATTTTATCACTCCCCAAAAGGAAATCTTCAGATCTAGATAGTTCTGCTGGAGAATTTTACTGAATGTTTAAAGAATTACCACCTACACACAGTTTCTTCAAAGAGAAAAAAGGAAGAAGAGGGAACACTTTCCAGAACACTTTGCAATTCATTGTATGAAACTAGTATTACCCTGATACCAAAACCAGACCTAGATAGTACATAAAAAGACAAACGAGGCTGGGCACAGTGGCTCATACCTGTAATTTCAACACTTTGGGAGGCTGAGGCAGGAGGATCACTTGAGCCCAGGAGTTTGAGACCAGCCCAGGCAATACAGTAAGACCTTGTTGTCTCTACCAAAAAAAAAAAAAAAAAACCATAAAATATTAGCCAAGCATGGTGGCACATGCTTGGCGGGAAAATCACTTGAGCCCAGGAAGTAGACATTGCAGTGAGCCATGATTGCACCACTGCAGTCCAGCCTGGACAGCAGAGCTAGACCTTGTCTCAAAAAATAAAACTTAAAAACCAGCCTGTAATCCCAGCACTTTGGGAGGCCCGGCAGGTGGATTGCTTGAGCTCAGGAGTTTGAGACAAGCCTGGGAACATGACGAAACCCCATCTCTTTAAAAATACAAAACTTAGTGGGCATGGTGGCAAGCATCTGTAGTCCCCATTACTCAGGAGGCTGAGGTAGGAGGACATGAGCCTGGAGATGGAGGCTGCAGTGAGCTCTGATCATATTGCTGCACTCCAGCCTGGGCAACAGAGCAAGACCTTGTCTTAAAAAAAAAGGACAAGCAAATCTCCCTCATGAATGTGGTGGACACAAAAATTCTTAACAAAATATTAGCAAACAGAAGTTTTTTGTTTTTGTTTTTTTGAGATGGAGTTTCGCTCTTGTTGCCTGCCCAGTCTGGAGTGCAATGGCGCAATCTCAGCTCACCACAACCTCCTCCTGCCAGGTTCAAGCAATTCTTCTGCCTCAAATTCCCAAGTAACTGGGATTGCAGGCATGTGCCACCACGCCAGCTAATTTTTTTTGTATTTTTAGTAGAGGGGAGGTTTCTCCATATTGGTCAGGTCTCTAACTCCTGACCTCAGGTGATCCGCCTGCCTCAGCCTCCTAAAGTGCTGGGATTACAGGTGCAAGCCACTGTGCCTGGCCAAGATATTTTTAAAATATATATCATGGCCAAATAGGGTTTATTACAGAGATGGTTAAGTATTCCAAAAGCAATCAGCGTAATCCAGCATATTAACAAACTGTAGAAGAAAAACCACACAATCAGATCTATCAGTATAGGAAAAGCATTTGACAAAATTCAACACCCGTTTGTAGTTTTTTTAAGAGCACTCATTAAAACAAATAGGGCAGGGCATTGAACTTGGTAAAGAGCATCTACAAAAAACCTACAGCTAACATATTTAATGATGAAAGGCTGAATTCTTTTCCCCTAACATCAGGAACAAAGCAAGGATGTTCATTCTTGCTACTCTTGTTCAATACAGTGCTGAAATTTTTAGC